AGCTCACTTCTTCTTCTGCCTCAGACTGAGCACAAGTCTAGAGAATAGGTAGTTAAGAATAAAGTTAAACAAACTGTATTGAGAGCTACTCTACAGAGTTCAATTCAACAACAAAGTTGTTGATCGACTCCCTACTACTCTTACCTGTAAAACGCGCTAAATCGGTTATGTATTCACATGTCAATGTTATACACGTAATAATAACTTTCTAAACGAAATTGGGTCGAACCCCTGTGGTAACTTATTGGACCATCAGTAATGTATCCGTCATTTATTCGGATTTTATCCAGACTGTAAAAACTTCCAACATCTACGAACTAGCGACTAATAGTTTTCTTGTCACTATTATAGTTCGTCGAGTTCATCCACGGTGTGGCCTAGAGCCTTATCGCGAATGACAAAACGATTTCTGGCTTCAAGGTGAGTCAAGGACGCGAGCGAGTTGGCGGAGTAAGCCCAATGCACGTAGTTTTGCGTTACCAAGGTTTGACTCAAACAGGCGCGACCCAAGCCTTTTGCATACATGCATCACCAGATCTGCTAATCGATTCGTAATGGAGTCAGCATCTGACTTTTCAAAGGGTGGCTGGAATGCAGTACAGGCACATCATCGTCTTGTTGCAAAGCAAATCGGGCATGTACACACGAAGATCATTGAAGGCAGGGTGCACCGACTCAGGCGCTTAAAAGCTTTGGATCAATTTAACTACATCTAAGATAAGACTTCAGAATCCATGGTCTTACCTGTCGTGAAATAATATAATGTTGACAGTAGAAATACCCTTAAAATGCTGTTGGAATCAAATCCAAATCAACATTACCAAGGAAAATACTTCGAAGTATGACAGATTCAACGTTAATTAAAAACGCAAGCACCAATAATAAATGCTAGGCCTCAAAGGCAGTTCCAGTGTGTGGCCCTCATACTCGTCTCCAGTTTGCCAGAAACTCACTACGGCGTAAACCTCGGTCGACAGCAGTACTGGTACCAACAATATAAAAACACGAGCCGTCATTGTGCGGGACAGTATTAGGAGACACGTCTCACCGATCTCGTTTATCGATCTTGAGCTTGTCCCTTCGATGGAATGGCCACTCTCCCCCACTTCACTTTGCATTTTCCTTCTCCCCGGACACCTCCCAACCAGCATGAAGTTTTTCTCCTCCGTCTTTGCCGTTTCTCTGCTGGTGACGAGCGCTCTCACGATCGACGCTGGAACCACTACTCAAGTGTCGGCCAACCGTGATACGGGTTTCTCCCAAACCGGCGAGCGTTCCAGCACGAACGGCAAGCATGGTGTTCCCTTGATCAAGAGTGGATTTAGTCACGCGGAATCGAGCGGCACCGATACCTCGCAGAGCAACCCCGGCCAGACCAACCCTGACCAAAACAACCCCGGTCAGTATACGCCGGATCAAAATGCTACGAGCTCAGACGGATCGCAGGAGCAAACCCCGCCGGTCCTCAAGGGCGATTGCATTCTCACTGGAGTTTACATCAACAACACCGATGTGTCGGAATGCCGCAGCATCCTTGTCGACTCGTTACAAGTGCCTGCAGGCGTGATGCTGAATTTGACCAACCTGCATAACAATACGAGGATCTCATTCCATGGTACCACCACCTTCGGAAAAATGGTAAGATTCCCAACTTACATCAACTTTCTGCTGTCTAACAACCACTGCATTTCAATGTTCCACTTGTTTCTTGTAGCTATGGGCTGGTCCGCTGGTTGAGCTTCAAGGAAACAATCTTACTGTCACTGGCCCCGGTACGCTTGACGGACAAGGTGCATGGTACTGGGCTCAAGCCCGGAACCTTACCAAACCACGCTGGCTTTTCAAGATGTACAAGGTTGCCGACTCCACTATATCGGGATTGAACGTTTTGAACATGCCTTTCCACGCCTTCGCTGTCGATAGCTGCAACTACACGACCATCACCGGAGTCACTGTTAATTCCAGTGCTGGTAACGGAGTCGCGAAGAACACAGATGGATTCGATCTCGACAAAAACGACCACGTTACGATCACCAAGAATCGTATTTTCGGCCAAGATGACTGCCTTGCGATGCAGTCGAGCACCAATATCGTGTTCAGTGACAACTACTGCTGCGGTACACACGGTATCTCTATCGGTTCTCTTGGTGGCCCTGA